GAGTATCTGGAGGTAGATATATAAATGTTGGGAAGGTAGATCTTTTTTCTGGAGGTATGAGAATGGTTGTAGTTTTAGTCACAGGATGTACTAAGTGGCGTAGTTGGAAGAGATTGGCTGTGACCCAAGGGAGCACCCGGGGCATGTCTAAACTGTCTGGAAGGTTGGGGTTAAAGAGGATATTAGTCAGTGGGGAGCAATCTGAGGTCAATGGAAACCTAGTCTTACATTTCTGCCATATACTCATAGAGAATTGCATGGGGTCAAGGAAGAAAGGACAGATAGAGGTAAGGTCCACCGCTGAGGTCGACCAGAGGAGAGAACAAGGATGAATCGGAGTCAATTGTAAGGACTCGATCTCAGTCCACAGGTTGGGGGGGTAGTGGGTGTGGACCACGATGTAAGGAAGCGGAGATGGGTAGCATAGTAATAGGTCACAATATCCGGTGCCCCTAGGCCTCCCCTAGAACGCAGAGAAAGTAGTACGCTATGTGCGATTCTATGTCGCTTATTATGCCAAATGAAGTATAGAAGAGATTTCTGGAGGGAATGTAGTTTGGACATAGGAACAGGAACGGGGAGAGTTGCAAATAAATACAGGAGTTTGGGAAATACAGTCATTTTTATGATGTTGATGCGTCCCAGGAAGGATATGGGTAGGGTATCCCAGAATTTCAAGGAGTGAGAGATAGCTATAAATAGGGGAGGGAAGTTAGCGTCATATGTAGAACTGTAGGAGGAAGTGAGGTTAGTACCCAAATATTTTAGAGAATGAGTGCACCATCGATACAGGAAGGCTTCTTGGAGGGACGAGAGGAATGCTTTGCATTTTCTCAGTGAAAGCACAGCATTCTTTGATTGGACAAGGTACAGAGTGTGATGTCACTTTCTCCAATCAGAAAATGCATTGCATACATTGAGAAAATGCAAAGCGATCTTTAAATGGCGCCAATGCTGCGTGAGTTCACAATGCAGCACTCAGCACAGGACCCAGAAGTTAGCTGGAAATTACAGAAGTAGATACCACTACTCCAGTGATCTCCACTGCTAGTGGGATCCCACAGGTATGGCATATGCACAGTTCATCAGTCCATGCTGGAACAATGTAACTATGTAAAAATATCCATACCTGGAATTCAGCTTTAAAAAGAGAAGTATGAGAAGTATGTTTTTTTTCCCTCAAGTCATACTTACCTAGGTGGATGCAGCATCGGTTCCCTGCCAGCTCTATGTGTGAGAACTAACCAATCTCCTAGATTGTAAGCTCGAAAGAGCAGGGCCCTCGATCCCCTCATGTTTTGCATTGTATTGGTATTGTTCTGTCACATGTTCTGTCCCCCTTTGTAATGTACAGCGCTGAGCGAACTATTGGCGCTTTATAAATACTGTATAATAATAATAATAATAATAATTACATGACCACTGATCGCTGAGTTTCTCACCACCGCTGTGAACAGGGCTCTGAACCCCCCCGCACTCACTGGAGTGCTGGGCTGTGGAGGGGGAGGGAGTGGCTGGCTCAGGTTCTCAGCAGATAGCCTACAGGCTTAGCCAGGTGCCGCTTCAGACTATGGAGTGGATCCTGACTTTCCCCAGCTTGGACCAGCTGAGTGACATCAGCTGACAATGGGCTTTAGCCCGCTGTCAACTGCAAACGGATCACAGGAGTACAGAATGAACTGCACTCCTGTGATTCACAAGAGCCATTGTACAGCTAAAAGAGCTTTGGCTGTACTTCTCCTTTAAGTTTTCTCCTACAACTTAAAAACAAATTGGAAGGCTTATATGCTGCTTTCAGACTGTGTTTGCAAGCACACAAGTAGGGGAATAACTAATAACTGTATAGAATGCAATGTGGTAAATATAGATGAGAAAATAACCAACATAGAGAGGAGCAGTTAAAGCTGATCTCTGGGAGTTAAGACAAAATCCAGCTTGTGGGATGCCAATGCAAGGGTTAATGCCCATTAAATACTTTTAATATCCCTGCACAGTATGTGATGATGCAGACAGTATGGAGCTTCAGGTAAAGAAGAACAGCACTGAAGCTTGCAGGATCGGGGACAGCATAAGTAATACACCTTATCCCCTAGATTAAAACACCATTTAACCATTTTGGGGGCATCAAGGGTAATTTTGTCTAATTCTGAACTTCATTTTTAAAGTATACTAACTGACATATATATTTTTTTTGCTTTAAAATAAAAAAAGAGGATATCCTTACCTGCTCTGTGAAATATTGCACAATGCACTCCCTTACTGCCTCTTCTGCAGTCCTTCACCAGCGCGGTTTGCTCTTTCTTCCTAGGTGTCCCCCTCTTAGCAAGCTGTGTGCTAAGGGGACACCGACTGTTGTCTTAGCAAGCTGTGTGCTAAGGGGACACCGACTGTTGTCTAAGCTGGGCTAAGGGGACACCGACTGTTGTCTTAGCAAGCTGTGTGCTAAGGGGACACCGACTGTTGTCTTAGCAAGCTGTGTGCTAAGGGGACACCTGCTGTTGCTTAGCAAGCTGTGTGCTAAGGGGACACCGACTGTTGTCTTAGCAAGCTGTGTGCTAAGGGGACACCGACTGTTGTCTTAGCAAGCTGTGTGCTAAGGGGACACCGACTGTTGTCCTTAGCAAGCTGTGTGTGCTAAGGGGACACCGACTGTTGTCTTAGCAAGCTGTGTGCTAAGGGGACACCGACTGTTGTCTTAGCAAGCTATGTGCTAAGGGGACACCACTGTTGTCTTAGCAAGCTGTGTGCTAAGGGGACACCGACTGTTGTCTTAGCAAGCTGTGTGCTAAGGGGACACCGACTGTTGTCTTAGCAGCTGTGTGCTAAGGGGACACCCACTGTTGTCTTAGCAATCTGTGTGCTAAGGGGACACCCATTGTTGTCTTAGCAATCTGTGTGCTAAGGGGACACCCATTGTTGCCTGTGTCTCCTGTGAGTCGAGGAAGTGGAGGAGCAGTGCTGCATCCAGGACAGGGCTGAATTGGTAAGAAGAGCCAGGTAAGTGTTTAGGGGCAAGGGGGCTAGGACAGGTAGTGGAGCTTTTTTTACTTTAATGCATAGAATGCATTAAGGTAAAAAACAATTTGACTTTAGAACCACTCCAAGCTTAGGACTCCACAAAGCAGAGAGCAATACCGCCCTTTGTACTTAAAATCTATTCCTTGCTCTTTGCAAAACACAAACTCACTTTATTCCATATATTTTAAACATACTTAAACAATATTTTTTTACTACTTCTATTTTGATCCAACCTGTGCCTGGAATGAGCCCACTTCACTAGTAACAAGCCTAGATGTAGTTTGAGAGTGTAGGTGTGGTGCCACCTAGTGTTTACAATAAATATAGCTTTGTGAGTTGTCCAGTCATTTTCATTCCATCAGTAAATTTACATTGAAGAAGTAAGGCCAAAGCTCTTTTGGCCCTAATTCTCCTGGGGATCATTTAAATGCACTTTTGTGATCCATTTTCAGCTGACAGGGGGCTGATGTCACTAAGCCAGTCCAGGCTCTGGAGAGATCCTGACTTTAAAGTTGGGATCCACTAAGATACTTGGAGTGGCTGCTGGCTCTACTTCTTAGAGAGTCGCTAAGAGCCTGAGCCGCTGCACCCGTCCCCTACACAGCCTGGTGCACGAGCTAGAGCTGGAGGGGCTGAATAGAGAGCTGGTGACTGACAGTCACCGGCTCTCTGCTCACGGAAGACCGAGAGCTGAGCGATCAGCGGTCTTTGATGGGAACAGATACTGCATCAACATAGGTGAGTATGAATGTTTGTTTTTTTACAATCCCGAACTTATTTTTTAACATGTGTATATAGCTGAAACTTTTTTTTAGTTTTGAATACAATAGGGAAGGATCGTCACCAGAAAATGAATTGAAGGAAAAATCTTTCAATGGGGACCCCTGTTTTGGTGACAGATGTCCAAAATGGAAAATTTCCCTCAAATTCTAGAGATATTTTCTCACTTTCTAGTGTAGCATGTCCCTGGCAAGGAGAATGAAAGAAAAGCTCCCCAACAGGACATGGACAGCAAAAAATAAACAGATAAAAAATAAACCCATCCCTACTGTATCCAAAACTAAAACAAAAAAGATGGGCTATACAAACACATTAAAGTGACATTTTAATGGACAGTTGGAATACAACACTGCCTTAGCAAATACTTGACTAAATAATGTTATAGGGAAGTACTTTTAGAAAAATAAATTAACCATAGCTCAATAGCTAGCTACTTTCCATTTATTAAAGATGGGATCAAATATATTAAAGTAGCTTCTATAGCACATGATATAGACAACAAAGCTGGAGACACAATGTCCTGAGCATTCTGATCCAGGCAGAAAAGGATCCGATGAGTGAATTCTGTTCAATAATCTGTCAATGTACTCTGTGAAGGATTTTGCCAGAGGTAGGAAAGATGTGACTGTCTTGCTTAACTAAAAACTGCAGGAGATGGAGAAATTTGCCTTTTCATTAAGATGGAGGAAGACAAACTGCATTCGGTGTTCAGGGACTCATCAAGGCATGAGAAACTTGAGCGAAGAAGCTTGAAGAAAAACGAAGCTATTGCCCAGAGCCACCAATCACAAACAAGATTTAATTTGAAATTGCACCACTTTTCCCAAATTGGCCTTAGAGTATTCTCCTTCGAATATACATTGGCGAAGACTTAAAAACAGCTTTATTATAAAAAATATTTGTACACAGAGCAAAACGGTGTTCAGAATATAAATAAGCATCTGAGGAATCCCACAGATTTTAAGTCCGTATTGACTTGTCAGATACCTCCAGAAGGAGATAAAGTACTTCAGACGACTGTTAATACAAAATCTGATTGTACATAACAAAACGGTGGGGGCTCCAAGAGTGAGCCCTTGATTCTGTATGTTTTACACATCATATACGTGGCAGCCATTAGACATGATCTTTGCACCTTCCATGATGATGCTCTCCGTAATAAATTAGACACCAAATCCCTGCATTGTAAGAGAGTGCTCCATTCATACTACTTCATCAGACTCCAAGCCATGTTCTTCATACAACATGTCCAAAATGTTAAGCTGCTTTTCCATAGCTGGCAGGTATATGTTAAGGTCTCTCGACATCCCATCAAAGAAACACTTGTGTTTTTCATCCCCTTCATGTACAGTCAGAGCAGCCACAAACCCTTCATATGTTGGAGCCGCCCTTAAAGCCAGCTGTTAAAAAGGAAGAACAAAAGTAGTAAGAACTCTTGGTTTCAGTACAATAACTGTACACCTGTACTTAAAAGACAGAGAAACAAACACAGAGTACGAAAAACAATCAAAAGTACTACAGTTGAGTTAATGAAAAGATATGATAGGTGAGACCAATTAGGCCTATCCTAAAGTCAGCCATAGATAGATCAAATCCCGTATCTCGAATCTTGTACTGAAGTTGATCAATGGAACAAGCTCGGTACAACCAGCCTGCCCATACATGGAACGTATCTTGACCAGATTTTTGCATGAACATAGCCGCCAGCAGTAACTATTGTGTTCTACTAGAAGGGAAGGTTCCCCATTGGCAGAACACAATACCTCTGGGGGAGGCATTACCCCCATCAATATTGACTGTGGGGGATTGATGGGGGATCGAATGATTTTCTTTCCTTCCACTGGTGATGGCCTGCTTAATAGTATAGTAGAGCCCCTCTGAAGCTGTCACTATACACTAATGGAATTTCTTTAAAGACACCTTTAATTTACAGATTCTTTCTAAAGTACCACTGCTGTCAGGAATTAACTAGATACACTTGAAGTGTCAGAACATTTAAAAACAACTTTTTTACAGTGATCCATTCAACATAGCTCTCCTGCTACCTTTACAACTCAAACAATACTAGCAGCCATGGAATATGTAGGGATGCCTAGGTATTAGGTCACATGTAACTGTAACCAAATACCTTGGCCCTTGGAGCTCAAATCAGGTCTGCAGCAGAGTGGTCTGCATGCCGAGTGACAGTGGCTTGCCTTTGATGCTGGAACTTCTGGCTGTCACTAACAGCAGCGGTCCAGCACTAAGCCTAGGAGCTGAATTGGCCAGCTCCTGGGCCTCTGCTACCGAGCACGTCATGTATAGCCAATTGCCCACTCACTTTTATTCTGTGCAAAAGTGAGTGGGCAATTGGATATACATGTTTTAAAGGTATATTAAACAGATTTACACTTTGGGAGATCTTTTTTCTGTCTTTATCCTGACCTAAATGTGAGATGGTTGTATCTTACTATATCATCTCTGGAGGGGATCCTGCCGCTTCTTCCATTAACCTGTGAAGAGGATATCACCGCTGCGGACGGATATCATCCTCGAAGGGAGGACCAAACCGTGGGAGGTCACTTTTGTCTTTTAACAGGTGTCTTGGCCCTTTTGGGTCGCTTCAAGGAGGTGAGGGGGCAATTCAGCCATTTATGGATTATTTCCTATTGGTTGTCATGCATATTCACTTTATCACCTGGACTTTCTGAAGACGCTGGAATATTTGGTGTTTACGCACCTTTGAACTATTTTCTTTGAACTTATTTCATGTGACAATTTTTAAAAAAGTTTTTTTGGTTATTCAGTTCTCGTGATATATTTTCATTATATATATTTATTTTTTATCATATTTTTGTCATTCAATCACTGCACTTGTCTCTACTGTGTGATAATTAATCCCATATTTAGGGATTCACAGAATTTTTTACCTATTTTTCACTTTTATTTGGCAAATTTATAGCCTTTGTGGTCATCATTATTATCAGAGTGATAATTAATCCCACATTTAGGGAGTCACCATTTTTTATAATTATTAATATTTTTCACTTTATTGTAGTCCCATCAGGAATTTTTTTCTCTTTCACTGGCGTTTATTTTCAACATTTATTCACTTTTCTGTCTCACTATGGATCCCCTAGTGGATCAGTTCACTTCATGATTGGTGAGTGAGTGGCATATTTATTCACAGTATGGACTGAGGATAATGATTAGTCACCATTAAGATATATTTGGTAGGAGTTATATTGGGTTTTAATACCGTTTTGTATTATTATATTTGTTTTTTAGCTATAATACAAGGCAATATTTAGGGTAGCGCTGCACCATACTTTTTATAAAAAATGGGCATGACTTTCTTTTTTAATGCAACATACCACAATGCACAGCATGTGCATTGTGCAGCGCTGTAGTGTGGGTGCATTGTTCGCTACTGTAACAGTGAGTTGGGGTTGTCAAGAAAAATGATATGGTACCACAATGCACTACAATGCAAACACAATTATGAAATATATGACGGGGGCAGTTGGGGGCCTCACTCGAGGCTTTCTATATTCACTAAGATGACCGTCACTGGCCTAGGCATTTGATCACTTAACCAGCCACAATGGGATCATTGAACAGTAGATTCTGGAACAAAAGGTAAGCATTTTATAGCTTCTACCTTTCTTTAGGACTTTAAAGGGAACAGAAGCATCTCTTTTTAATGACAGATATGCTCTAAATTGATGAGCAGAAATCCTAAACACCTTACATAACATGGCCTAATATAGTTTGTAACACATATAACCAACAAGAACAAAAAAAAATAAAAATTATCATTCTCATATTCCTGTAGCAGAGGTATAAAAATAATGCAGGTAAAAAAAAAAAAAAAAGTGCATTTACTATTTTTTTTTTTTGTAGGAGCCTGGAAAGCTTTGCACCAGCAATCAACAGATCATGGGTGCAATATACTGTAGGGCTCCTGCAGACTGTGAGTGTAAACTTTCTGCTCACCCTCTTACGGGCAGGCAGTTACACAATGACAAGAGGAATCAAAAAACTACCACAGCGGTTAACAGTGCCATGGTCATTCACTGAGAACTACATGTCAACAGCCACAAAGTCTGTCGGTACATGTAGTTCATTCATTCATGTGCATAAAAGGACAAGGCCGTGTGGGTGGAGGCCTTCACAGCTCTGTCTTTTTAAACAGTGACAGCGAGTGCAGGGAGAAGATCCCTGGCCCGCTGTCACAGAGAAGAGGGGATAGGGGAGCGGCGGCTGCAGGAGCAGAAACATGTTACATGTTCCACCCTTAAAATAGGTGCAATGTGTTCCCAAAGGTGAACTTATCTTTTAAAGCTGAACTCTGGGATAAGCAAATATTGTCGAATTACAAGAGGCATCTGTCTTCTTACTTTGTTATTTGTGTATTTCTTCCGGATATTTGAAGTAATCCAGTGTGGAACTTTGCCTCTGTGCAAAGGCTTCCTGTAGTAAAGACCAGTCACTGCTGGGCTCTTTCCTTATGCAAGATGACTGGTCTTGTATCAGCCCCCTCCGATAGCTTTCTACAGTGATCCTGTAGTGGTTGGGCCTGTTGAGTCCCTCCTACAGCTCTATTCTCTGAGCAGGCTATGTGCAGTCCAGTGATATCACTGCTACTGTTACAAAGTAATAACATATTTGCAATGGCTATAAATCCACACATAGTGGATTTATATCCATTGCGCCTATCCGATAATATACTGTATATAATTGAAAGTGTTTGTGCCTAGAGTTCAGTTTTAAATAGAAACTCCAGCTGAAATAAATAGAAGTGTACAATTTAACCTGCCAAAATATCCATAATTCTGTACATGCAATTTCGTGACTCACACACATTGTCAGACAGGTGATACAGTTACTAATCATTCCCAATCACAGGTTCATCTTCCTTGTTCAGTAATACAGCTTTCTATGTCAGTTCCCTCATTGGTCAATGAATGAGTATTACCAGATTTGGCAGAGGTTTGTGCATTATAAAAATAGCTGGCAAAATTACAAATTGTTTGGCTGGTTAAATAGAGAATATTTGTATTCTACCCATATATTTAGCTGTTGTTTTGGAGTTCCACTTCAATAATCAGACATAAAAACCTAAAAATGCATGGTGAAGATCCAAGCTTACCGCAAATACACCTCTTACCACCCAGCCATGATATTGTCTCAATGTTTTACCATAGGCATTACCTGAAAGAAAGGTGGATCAGTTTTAATAATCATGTATAGACACACTCACTGCAGTTAACATCTTGACTAGTAAATCTACATATAATAATCAATTAAAAAAAAAAAAAAAAAATGTTATGTGCTACGTGATAATTCTATGCTTTTTTTTTCTATAGTGTTGTTTTAAGTACAACACAATGTCTACACACTATTCTGTTCCACAGTTTCCTGTTTTCTGAGTGTAAACTATAACAAAAATTATTGAAAATAAAAATACCCTTTTTCTGTATGTCCTAGCAGTGACTGGCATTCTTCTAGAGCAGAAAACCGCCAGTCACCGCACTATATCTGAACAGGGTCTAAAAGGTTACAGGGTTAGTTCACCTTATGAAAAAAAAACTGCCTATGCAGATAATGGATGTCTGTAGATAAAAACAAACTGTGCAGCTTTCACCTAAGTGGAATAATTCCCCTTCTATAGGTGTAGACCATTCATATATCTCATGAAACCAGACTGGAAAAATCCTAGGAAGTTACTAAGGACCATCACAGGAGCAGGCTCTTTCTCAGATTCAAACCCCCTCACATACACTCTCTCCTCTCTGATGCAGTTGCTCTTTATCTACATTTGTCTTTTATCTGCATAGGCAGTTCTTTTTGGTAGAAGATCTTTTCTTTTCCACTATGACTGTGCACCTATGCAAAAAAACCAGGTCCGTCAAGACATGTTTGAGGTGTTTGCGTGGAGGAAATCAAATGCTCCACACGCTACCCTTCTGAACACTTTTGTGAAGAAATGGAATGTCGATTTCTAGGCAAGTCCTCAGATCCAACATCAGTACCTGATTTCACATGCCCTTTGAAGTGCGTATGTCTTCATCCCTGCCAAATTCTTATAGAAAGCCTCCTTGTAAATGAAAGCTGGTACAGCTGAAAAAGGGTCGGGGAGGGGGGGGGGGACATTTATGCTCGCAGTTAAAGAAAAAAAAAAAAAAAAAAGAGCATATATGCCGAAGCATGGGGGTCTGGGGTGGCCAGTGGGTGGATGGCCCCTATGCTTCAGCATATATATTTTATAATATTTTTTGGCACATATTTCAATAAAAAAGTTGTTTTATTGAGTTACTGTTTTATTGTTAACCATTACTGTTTTCTTTGCAGGAATGCCATTCAGCTGCAGCACCGACTTGTTTATTCTGACAGCAACAGAGTCTTGCTTTCAGAATATACATAAGTAAGTGTATGCAGCACTGTTGGATGAGATTTTTCATCCGTAGTTAAAAAAAAGCTGAAGTGGCCAGTGGGTGGATGGCCCCTATGCTTTGGCATATGTATTTTATATAATCCTTATTAATGCCCATGGTTTTGGAATGAAATGGGATGTCCAAGAAACTCAGATAAGTGTGATGGTCAGATGTCCACAAACATCTGGCTATATGGCGTATGTTTTGCGTGTTAATTTTTATCAATTTACAAAACACAAAGCGAGCATACAGAAGAAACATCTAAATCAAATTAACTTTTGGCGTGACTTGCCTTTGGCTTCAAACCAGCATTATTTCCTACACTTGCACACTTTGTACACTTGCACAAAGTCAGGGATTTTGTAGAATTAGAGTCAGGTGTATGATTAACCAATTATGCCAAGGAGGTGCTAATGATCTTCAATTTCTATGTAGGTTGAAACACAGTCATTAACTGAAACAGAAACAGCTGTGTAGGAGACTTAAAACTTGGTGAGGAACAGCCAACCTCTGCTACTAAGGTGAGGTCGTAGAAGACCGTTTCATGTCACAGGTCATACACCATGGCAAGACTGGAGTGAAATGCACTGTCCAGTTCCTCTATGTGCCGCCCGGCTGCTCCTCCTATCCAGGCGGCCCCAGCCCACAGGGCAAATGCCCGGTGTGCCCTGTGGCCAGTTCAGACCTAAGTGTATATATTAAATGAAAAAAATACCCAATGCATGATGAGATTTTGTAAAATGGCACATAAGCAAGCTTTATATATAGTAAATCTCAAAAATTCAAAACAAGCAATACATACTGGGTTATCCTTAATGCGTTTCCTTTAAAAAAAATCACTTACTTAATGCTGTCTGGATATTGTTTTCACCATTCTTTACTTCAGTAAGGAACTGAAATAAAAACTTGAGTCCCTAGAGAAAAATATACAGATAAACACATGCTCTTGGCTACATAGGTAAAGATTAAAAAAGGGGGGACAAAGGGGGAGAAGGGGAAAGCAGAGGAGTCCACTGAAAATCAAAGAAAAAATTAGGTGCCTCCAGATGAGCCTGGAAGGGTGCTACCTAAGGCATATGAAGAAAAAAAAAAACAAGAAAAAAAGAAAATAGGCTACACACCTAAAAGTATATCCTCAAAAACATATTTATTCATAAAACATACAACACATTGCATCAGGAACCTGGCAAATCACTCCCAATTATAAGAAACCCACCCCACACCCCTGGTATATTGAAACCCTCCCGCACTAGACACTCACCCGTGGTACCAAAGAGTGTCCCTTGTATGTACACAGCACCCCCACCTCCCGAAAGGGGACCCAAACCACCTCCCCCAACACCCACAACCACCCCTCAACAATCCCCCCAACCAACCAACTCAAAACAAAAAACACCTGGGAACACCTCCCAAGGTCCCCCAATACTTCCCCCACAATGACCCTCCAAGACTCACCCGCCTGACCACTCCCCTAGCCCACTAATGTCCCCCTACCCCCCACTAAATCGAATATCCCATGCACCAACTGGCTCTGAAGAAGCCCCGGAAGTAGTTGGGACGAAACAAGGCAGCATGTTCAGTTACCCCCTCCCTCCATTCCCAGCACGCCACCTCCACACCGCATGGTGTCTTTACAGAATCCTACCAACATGGATGTGGCATCTCATCCATGATGCACGGCCGGCAGTCACTACTGGACTATTAGCGGAGCCTCCACAGGACATGGCCACATCATTGGGATTATCAGCTGCGGTTTGATGTACAGGACCTTGGGGGTCCCACCATACAGTGAGTACTGGCGACCCGGTGTGGTTAACTAGGTCGTATCAGCTGTGCAGCCTTGCACAGGCTGGACTGGTTACACAAATCAAGGATGCTGTGGCAGATATACATCTTTGATTTATTCCCGCTGGCTGTCTCACCACCCATGTCCTCATGTTTACATGCTCATTAAATTCTTCCTGGAGGCTTAGTTTTGCTGAGTGCTGCGGCCCATTCATGCCTGGTCATCAGCCTGTTTCTACTACCGCAGGTTGGCTGTGGAACATCTGACACAGTGCACATTTATGGACTGGTGGATATACTCTATTGGACACCACTATAGACATACCTTTTTCCTGTGGATTGGCCATACCAGATTCATATTTCCTAGTGCACTAGTGACCTGTCTGTTCAGTTGGACTCTAGAAGTTATAGCCCTTCACATTTGATATTTTCTTTCCGGTCTTAACTGTGTTTTTTTTATACTGTCTATGCATTGAGGTTGAATTTTACTGCAGTCCATTATTATCCATAGGAATATCATATTGCCTTGTATTTGGTGTGTTGGTGGATGGGATATTCGATCTAGCGGGGTCTAGGGGATAGGGGGGAAGTTAGTGGGCTAGTGTCACACCTCAGCTCCCTTCTTCCCCTTTTAGGGGGAGGGGGGTGGTCGGGCGGGGGGGGTCTGGGAGGGTCATTGTGGGAGGAGTATTGAAGGACCCTGGGAGGTGTTTCCAGGGATTTTTTGTTTTGTTTTGGGTTGTTTGGTTGGGGGGTATTGTTGAGGGGTGGTTGTGGTGTTGGGGGAGGTGGTTTGGGTCCCTTTCTGGGGAGGGTCGAGTGCTGTGTACATATAGGGGACACATCGGTGACCGTTTAGTGCGGGAGGGTTTCCCTATACAAGGGGTGGGATGGGAGTGATTGCCAGGTTCCTGATACAATGTCTAATTTACTTTGTGTGTTTTATGAATAAATAAATTTTTGAGGTTAGCCTTTTAGGTGTGTAGCCTATTTTCTTTTTTCTTGTTTTTTTCTACATAGGTAAAGATTCATTAAACAGATCATGTACAGCATGAATCTCATATGTTGCACTGTATTAGCAAACTAGGTAAAGATAATTGCTTGCTATGAGATAGTATGCATTGTACAGTATCCTACAAGGGCATACGTGCATCTGTAAAAAAAAAGTAGCGCCAATATAAGGTGCAAGTACCAAATAAAGACATATGTATCTCTATCAGACTTGATGATTGTACCTGCAAATTGTAAATGTTTTACTATGTGAATGTTTCCTAATGTTTTGATTATACTACTGAGTTTGCTCCAAAACCAATTTGTAAACTGTGTACTACATGATATGATAATACGCCATGCTTTCTTGTAGCTCATTCTTGTTCATATGTTCTGATTGTTCTTTCTGAATAAAAGCCAATTGTTTAAAAGAAAAAAAAAAGACATATGCATCACACGATGTTGTGAATGATTACCCCAAGCACTGCCACTTACCTTTTCAACCACAAAAGGGCCTCCGTTGCTGAGTTTCGCACTTGTGCTAAGCTGGCATTTAGTTCATGGAGAACGATCTTTTGCAATGTTGTAAACTCTTCTTTATTAGTGATATATTTCTGATTTATTTTCTACAAAAATACACAGAACAGTCTGGTATGAAGATGGTTATAACCATTTGCATATATTCCTTAGTGGTAATGGGGTTGATTTACTAAAACTGGAGAGTACAAAATCTGGTGCAGCTCTGCACTGAAACCAAACAGCTTCCAGGTTTTATTGTCAAAGCTTAATTGAACAAACTGAAGTTAGAAGCTGATTGGTTACCATGCACAGCTGCACCAGATTTTGCATCCTCGGAATTTAGTAAATATGTTATTTAGTTTGCTTTATTAGGACAGATTGCGTTTATATACCATCAGTCTGATCACACAAACAAGGGTTTAATTCCTTACTAAAGAAAAGAAAAGAAAAGAAAAGAGAAATGAGAAAAAAAAGAAGAAATAAAAGAAAGAGAAAAGAAAAAGAAAAAAAAAAAGAAAAGAAAAAAAAGAAAAGAAAAAAGAAAAGAAAAAAGAAACGAAAACATTGGCCATATGTAGTTAGTTTTTTCTTTCATTCAGCCACAATAATGAGGTGGATGAAGGAACCCCCTGCCAGGACACTGTATCAGTGGCTGATCAGAATCTATTCCAACATGTCCCTTCTACAAAAGTCGATTAAATAATTGGAGGCCACACACTGGCGCCTGCTGAACCTGTCAAATTTCAATCAGTGAATGGCCTGTTTAAGAGACAGGAAGAGATAATACAAGACAGAAAGAGAGATAAATTAGATGAGGAAGGGAGAGAAAGAAATAAGACAAGGGAGAGAGAGAAATAAGACAAGGGAGAGAGAGGAATAAGAAGAGGGAGGAAGAGAGAGAAATAAGTAGAGGGAGGGAGAGAGAGGAATAAGATGAGGGAGGAAGAGAGAGAAATAAGAAGACGAGGGAAGGAGAGAGAGAAATAAGACAAGGAAAGGAGAGAGAGGAATAAGAAGAGGGAGGAAGAGAGAGAAATAAGTAGAGGGGGGGAGAGAGAGGAATAAGATGAGGGAGGAAGAGAGAGAAATAAGTAGAGGGAGGGAGAGAGGGGAATAGGATGAAGGAGGGAGAGAGAGGATACGAGGAGGGAGGGAGAGAGAGGAATAAGACGAAAAGGGAGGGGGAGAGAGAGGAATACGAAAGGGAAGGGGAGAGAGAGGAAAAGACGAGGGAGGGAGAGAGAGGGATAAGATGGGGGAGGAGAGAGAGGGGAATAAGACTAGGGGAGCGAGAGAGAGGAATAAGACGAGGGGGGGAGGAATAAGACGAGGGAGGGAGAGAGAGATGAATAAGAATGAGAGAGAGAGACAAGCGAGGGGAGACAGAGAGAGAGAGACAAGCGAGGGGAGACAGAGAGAGAGAGACAAGAGAGGGGAGACAGAGAGAGAGAGACAAGAGAGGGGAGAAAGAGAGAGAGAGAAGAAGAGAGGGGAGACAGAGAGAGACAAGAGAGGGGAGAAGAGAAGAGAGAGAGACAAGAGAGGGGAGACAGAGAGAGAGAGACAAGAGAGGGGAGACAGAGAGAGAGAAATAAGATGAGGGGGAAAGAGAAAGATAAGATGAGGGAGAGAGAAAGAAAAGAAAAGAAAAAAGGAAAGAAAAGAAAAGAAAGAAAGAAGATGAGAGAGAGAGAAGATGAGAGAGAGAGAAGAAGATATGACAGAAAAGAGAAGATGAGAGAGAGAGAGAAGAGAGAGAAAAGAGAGAGAGAGAAGAAAAAAAAGAGAGAGAGAAAGAGAGAGAGAGAGAAGGGATGAGAGAGAGGGGGATGAGAGAGAGAGGGGATGAGAGAGAGAGGGATGAGAGAGAGAGGGGATGAGAGAGAGAGGGGATGAGAGAGAGAGGGGATGAGAGAGAGAGGGGGTGAGAGAGAGAGGGGGTGAGAGAGAGAGAGAGAGGGAAAGGGAGAGAGAGTTAAGATGAGAAGAAAGAGAGAGAGAAGAGAGAGAGAGAAGAGAGAAAGAAGAAGAAAGAAAGAAAGAAAGAAAGAAAGAAAGAAAGAAAGAAAGAAAAAAAGAAAGAAAGAAAGAAAGAAAGAAAGAAAGAAAGAAAGAAAGAAAGAAAGAAAAAAAAGAAAGAAGATGAGAGCGAGAGAGAGAGAGAAGGCAAGGGAGAGTGAAGAGTTAAGATGAGAGAGACAGAAAGAGAGAGAGAAATAAGACAAGGGGAAAGTGAGAGATAAGATGAGGGAGGAGAAAGAAAGAAAGAAAGAAAGAAAAAAAAAGAAAAGAAAGAACGAAAGAAAGAACGAAAGAAATTAAAAGAAAAAAAAGAAAGAAAGAAAGAAAGAAAGAACGAAAGAAATTAAAAGAAAAAAAAGAAAGAAAGAAAGAAAGAAAGAGAGAAATAAGGAGAGAAATAAGGAGATAAGTAAGGAGAGAAGTAAGGAGAGAAGTAAGGGAGAGAGAGAGAGAGGGGGGGGGGGGGTGAGAGAGAGAGAGAGAAATAAGATGAGGGGGGAGAGAAAGAGAGAGAGAGAAAAAGAGAGAGAGAAATAAGACAAGGGAGGAAGGAGGAGAGGGCAATAGAAAAATAAGATCAAGAAGGGAGAAAGAAAAAGAGAAAAATGGTGAGGGGTCGATAGAGAGATTAATTGCTACACAGTACTATGAAAGAAAACCTTGTGACCTTATTGGCACAGGCGAAAAGCTGTAAACGTCTTCCTGTATGTAAGGGTTTAGAGCAATGAATAACTAGCCAATATTTGTAGAGATGTAGTAAGAATGTGCAGGAAACATATTACAGTCCATTCATTCACCCTACCTTTATGTTTCCAACAAAATCCATTTTTACAGGTGCAAACACTGTTGACCCAAGCTTTATCTGCAGAAAGACAAACAAGCCATTAACTACTCTGCTGAGGTACTAACAACAAACAGCCATTCTCGGACAGATAACACTGAAGTGATTTGGCATTGTACAGCTTCACATAGAGGCAGATTTGTTACAACTGGTGCACTCAGAATCTGGCGCAGCTGTGCATGGTCGCCATCAGCATCTAATTTAAGCTTGTTCAATTAGGCGTTGGCAATAAAACTTGGGAGCGGACTGGTTTCCTTGCAGACTTGCACCAGATTTTGCACTCTCCAGTCTTAGCAAATGACCCTCACAAAGTTTATGTAACATCTGTTTATTGCCTGTTGTATGGCTGCCAACTTCACAACATATTTCACTCTAACTGTGGGGTAAAGGTCTATCCTGATGGTTTACATGGTATAAATAACAAAAGGCCAGTAAAAGGAATATTCAAAAATGAGTGGCCAAGTTCAAACTGAATGGCATGATATGTTTTGTCAGATTGTATTCTTACAAGACTTCCACCTATTAGAAAAAGTATATTCTTGGGAGAAATCAACTGAGGTGAATACATGTTCTTACACCTTGAAAGAAAGGAGCCCATAGGAAACTGCATAGCTCCAAGCGACAAGGTTTGTCATCCTGGCGATTCCAACCACTAAAAGGTGCTGGCATCCAAGGGGCCAGTCTGGGCTGGTAATGCTAACTGACAATGAAAAACATGGAGCCGAACACAATCAATCCACCTGGTAGTAAAGTACAAAAAAAAATCAGCTTCAGCTAATCTCCTCCCAAGTCTTGCCTCTCTGACTCCCATGGGCTCAATAGTTGAATCTAGGTTTAAGCCCGTGGAAGGTCAAAATGTGTCAAATGGGTATGACAGGGGAGGAGACTAGCTGAAGCCGGTTAGCACACTACTGGGCAGATTGATTGTGTGTGGCTCAACATTTCTCGTTGAAAGAAAGGAGGTCACACCATAAAAATGTGGGGTCAGAGTTAATTAATTGATCCTCCCAAACCTGATATTTTATAGCTGGCAAACCTTGGCAAACTGGATTACCTGCCTTGCAAGGACAGAAAAGAAAAGACAAGAAAAGAAAAGGCAAAGGGAGAAAGACACAAGCAGAAAGAAAGACAAAAAAAGAGGGATACACAGACAAGAAGAGAAAGAGACATACAGTGGGGCAAAAAAGTATTTAGTCAGCCACCAATTGTGCAAGTTCTCCCACTTAAAAAGATGAGAGAGGCCTGTAATTGGCATCATAGGTAGACCTCAACTATGAGAGACAAAATGAGAAAAAAAATCCAGACAATCACATTGGCTGATTTGGAAAAAATTTATTTGCACATTATGGTGGAAAATACGTATTTGGTCACCTACAAACAAGCAAGATTTCTGGCTCTCACAGACCTGTACCTTCTTCTTTAAGAGGCTTCTCTGTCCTGCACTCATTACCTGTATCAATGGCACCTGTTTGAACTTGTCATCAGTATAAAAGACACCTGTCCACAACCTCAAACAGCCACACTCCAAACTCCACTATGGTGAAGACTAAAGAGCTGTCGAAGGACACCAGAAACAAAATTGTAGACCTGCACCAGGCTGAGAAGACTCAAACTGCAATAGGCAAGCAGCTTGGTGTGAACAAATCAACTGTGGGAGCAATAATTAGAAAATGGAAGACATACAAGACCACTGATAGTCTCCCTCAATCTGGGGCTCCACGCAAGATCTCACCCCGTGGGGTCAAAATGATCACAAGAACGGTGAGCAAAAATCCTAGGACCACACGGGGGGACCTAGTGAATGACCTGCAGAGAGCTGGGAACAACGTAACATCAGTAACACACTACGCCGCCAGGGACTCAGATCCTGCAGTGCCAGACGTGTCCCCCTGCTTAAGCCAGTACATGTCTGGGCCCATCTGAAGTTTGCTAAAGAGCATTTGGATGATCCAGAAGAGGATTGGGAGAATGTCATATGGTCAGATGAAACCAAAATAGAACTGTTTGGTAGAAACACAACTCATTGTGTTTGGAGGAGAGAGAATGCTGAGTTGCATCCAAAGAACACCATACCTACTGTGAAGCATGGGGGTGGCAACATCATGCTTTGGGGCTGTTTCTCCGCAAAGGGACCAGGATGACTGATCCATGTACAGGACAGAATGAATGGGGCCATGTAGCGTGAGATTTTGAGTGCAAACCTCCTTCCATCAGCAAGGGTATTGAAGATGAAATGTGGCTGGGTCTTCCAGCATGACAATGATCCCAAACTGACCGCCCGGGCAATGAAGGAGTGGCTTTGTAAGAAGCATTTCAAGGTCCTGGAGTGGCCTAGCCAGTCTCCAGATCTCAACCCCATAGAAAACCTTTGGAGGGAGTTGAAAGTCCATGTTGCCCAGCGACAGCCCCAAAACATCACTGCTCTAGAGGAGATCTGCATGGAGGAATGGACCAACATACCAGCAACAGTGTGTGCCAACCTTGTGAAGACTTACAGGAAACATTTGACCTCTGTCATTGCCAACAAAGGATATATAACAAAGTATTGAGATGAACTTTTGATATTGACCAAATACTTATTTTCCACCATAATTTGCAAATAACTTCTTTCCAAATCAACCAATGTGATTGTCTTGATTTTTTTTCTCATTTTGTCTCTCATAGTTGAGGTCTACCTATGATGCCAATTACAGGCCTCTCTCATCTTTTTAAGTGGGGGAACTTGCACAATTGGTGGCTGACTAAATACTTTTTTGCCCCACTGTACCAGCCAAAAAATGCACCACATAGGTACAGTATGAAGCTAAAGATTTTCAAGCTATCCAAGTGCACCTAAATATGTAACTCTTAGGAGAGCACAATGTGATCCCCAAATATAAGGGTCTACACATATTAAAGTGGTTGTAAACCCTTACATATACCCACAGAAGTGGCTGGCCACAGGTGATACAACAAATCCTCATGCATAAGTTGTACCTGTTTATCTGCAATATTATCTGCTCTACATCCGTTCAAAGTGCTGAAGTTAATAGCTTTTTGAGAGTTCTGAAAAAAGGGGGCAAAGAGCAGAAGTTATACCTACAGAGCTCAGTGAGAAGAGTTCTGAGATCTGATTGAAGGGAAGGGACACACCCCCCCCCCTCCACACAGCTTACAGGAACAGAGCTGAAGCTGTCAATCTGTTGGCGGTCCCTCCCCATTACCATTTTTCTCTTGGTGAAAGGAAAACTTGTCAGAAGTTACTCATTCTGATAGCAGAGGAATGAAGCAGCAGACATAATTGACACTTAGAGCTCTAAATTGAGACATGTACACACTATAGAGGGATATGCTTTGTTCATATTTTAGGTCTAAAATTTCACTTTAAGATGGATCAACTTTCAAAGTAAAAAACACCATAGAATGAAAACAGAATCCATAAGCAATATTCAGTATGAATACATACCTAGAACAGGGACTATTGCGTAACAGGAATTCAAGAAGAATTCTGTTGGGATGCCATCTTCACCTTCATACACAAGATCACTGAATCTTGAAAACACAACACAGACTGTAATCATTATACCACAATATGACAAATAAGAAATACAGAAACGTCTTTGAGAATCTAGAAGACTTCAGAAAAATCATCAGTAAAAACTTGCATAACATCAGGCCCTGTGTGGCAGGAATATAAGACTGTGAGCTGCTTTGAGGACATAGACTGATAGAAATTAAATGTGTTCTTTGTACAGGACTGCATGACACGATTATATAAATAAAGGAAATAACAATGATATGATATATGAATGAATACAGCTTCGGTCTAAGATTTTACTGTCATTTTTTTTCACAGGGACTGGCCGAATTGCAAACCGTGTGTGGACTTGAAAAAAGTTGACTGTTTAATCAACTTCTGACAAAGGGACATGTTGGAAAATTTTTTATTGATTGGTAGCTGCAGACGCTGATCGGTGTATTCTGTCCCAGTGGGGATAAAAATTACATGATTTTGCAGGTAAAACGGTAAACCTAAGGTGGCCATAGATGGATCGAATCTGCTGAGCTGGCTGAAATTCGAATGTATGTATGGGCAAGGCTGGCTGTACTGAAGTCGATCTATCCATCAAATTCATTACACCTAGCCTGTCAGATGTATTTGCATGCAATTACTGCTGACTAAATCCAATAGTAGTAATCATTGTGTTCTGTTGGCAGGGAAGGCTCCCTGCCAGCAGAACACAATAGCTTTGCGGGAGGGATTACCCCATCAACACTGTCTGTGTTGATGTGGAAATCCAGTAATTTTCATTCCTGCAACACGATTGCATGAAAGAAAACCAAATCCTTTATTGCTTGCCTTAGTATCTAGCTGCGTTTGTTTTTCATAAAAGGCCTACTAAATGTGCTATGCCGCGTAATATAGACATCTAATTAAACGTAATACCTGTGAGTCATTGTGCTGAAAAATGTGTGAGGCAGCTCTTCCTTGGTACCTCCTCCACCTTCATCCGATGACCCCCCTCCTTCGTCCTGCTGCAATGTACTGCTTACTGCAGGTAGACTGGCATGTGTGTCTGTCTCATCCTGCAGATCACAAACCCCTGAGCTCTCCGAGGAAACATTATCCAGTGAACTTTCAGCACCTGAAAAAAATGGATTTCACACCATGACTCTTACTATTAAATGGCCCATAATAGATAAACACATAAACAGAGTAATGAAGGTTCTGTGATCTTCGTAGATTAAGATCAGTTAGTAGCCATAAAAATTGTTTTGCCCTTATAATGATTTAGTCTGGGGGATGTCAAAGGGTAGAATCTAATTGTTATGCTATTTAAAACATTAAAATTGGACCTTGCATCAAAGCACCCATTACATAGTTACATAGTCAGTCTGGCTGAAAAAAGACAAAAGTCCATTACAAAAAATAAACTCACACATAAAAGGAGAAAATAGCAAAATATGATTACCTTACACCTAAGCTTCCACCCATGGTTCCTAGAGTAGGTTGACATCGTAGACCTTCTGCAAGATCCTGAGAAAGCAGAAGATCCCAAAGCTCCTGCACTTTGCTGGGGTGTCTTCTTGCTAAATTTGGGGATTTCAGCTTTCCCGGGATCTCACCAGAAGTAATCAATGCACAAAACCCTCCATGTAACTTTAGGTTCTGGGTTTCCTCCATGTGATGGAAAGGAGTGATCCTAATACAGACTCTTTTTTAAGCCTATACAGCTTTCATCAGCTCAACAGGAAAAAAAAAAAAAAAAGATCTGTTCAAGTGGAACTACAGAAAAAAAAAAATCTTTTTTCCTGGGTTATTAGTAAAAGGTTAAAAATCTGACTGTGGTTCTGACCCTTCCTCATACTTCTACAGTGTTTTTTGTCAGTATCCCTCCTCATTCCACTCAAAAGAAAGTTTTGGCTGGAGTTCTACTTTAAATTGGGAAACTAAAAATAAAGACATAATAAGCAAGACCAATGTTATTGTTGATTCAGTGAAATGTATTAATATGAAACAGATGGATGAAACAATAAAAATTATTGTAAGGGATATTTTTTAAAAAAAGGTAATGCACAGAGCGGTCCCTAACCTCCTCTTCAGGAATCCCCCCCCGCAGCCACTGCCTGTTCCTTCTTCCTCCTGGTGCCACCTCAGCAAGCCATGTGCTAAGGAGGAACCTGTGCAGGTATGCTCTGAAGCCATACCGTGTGCATCCACAGACACACACAGCTCTGGTAAGCCACTCCCCAATGGGTTTGTCTGAGAGCAGCAGGAGCCTAGAACTCCCACTGCTCTCAGTTTCTCCTGTGAACCCAGGAAGTGAGAGGAGTTGAGTCAGGTAAGTGTTTAGGGATGGGGAAAGGGAATGGGTAGTGGAGCGCTTTTTTTACCTAGGTAAAATGTTTAGACTTTGGAACCAGTTCAATTTTGCATGGTTTAAAGTGTATGAAAACCTTAAAGCAGAACTACAGGTAAAACTTTTGTTTTCCATTTTGGATAGGAGTTAAAGAAGGTTATAACTCTGACTGACAGCAGTTCCTGGCAGGATAATCATTAGCCAACTGTCATTGCACCTATAAAACGTTACATGCTATAGTTTACCTGCATTGTCCTTATGTGTTTCAGGATCCTGGGAGGACAGTGGAATGGATTCTGGCATTTCCATACCGAGCATGCGGATGTTTTCAATTGGTGAATGGTTATGATGGTTGGGTTCCTCTTTTAAGGGCCCATTCTCCTGGTTATTGTTTAGTTCCATCTTCCTAGAAGAAATGTTAAACCTTAAAGATCAACTCTAAGCAAACATCTAAATACGCAGATAAAATACATATATGGGAGCTGTTTAACCCCTTGGCGCCGGCGCCTCCCAGCCCTTTAAGGGGTTTCAGATTCCGGGAGGTGGGGCAGGGTTTAATATCATGTGGTCGCTGTGATTGGCTGTCACAGCGCTCACATGATCAGAAAGCTCCTGATTACAAGTAGTGACTGGGAGCTTTCCATTACCTGCTGGTAACTTCTCCGGGAGCATGCAGAATGCATGCTGTTGGCACAGCTGTGTTTACATTTTGGTATGCATATATGTGGCCTCTGGGCATTAAGGCCCACCCACTGAGAGGCCGCATATATGCGTACTGTTGGTGCCACTGAGTTAACCTGCCAAAGGGTTAAGCTGGCCATAAATGGATTATTTTTTGGCTGATCGAAAGAAAAAAAAAATGAACAGATTCCTCCATCGACACAAGCAAGGTGAATGGAGAAATCCTCCCTTTTGTGCCATTGTAAGCTGACAGCAGGAATCCTCTTAGCAGCTACAGACAACTGGTTGAAGCTGGTACATCAACCAAAAAGTTTTCCAACAAGCCCGTTCTACAGCAGTCAATCATTAGGTGCAGCTGAATTTTGATCCATCTATGGCCAACTTTAGTATTTCTGTCTATTTCTGTGGTTTACACAACTCTGACACACAGTATAGTCCTGTTATGTTAGAAAACAGAGATAAGCCATTAATCCTTGAGTAAAATGCCACCATTTCTACATGCTGAACTGCACACAGGTTAGTTCTTGGGTTCTGAGTTTGGTGCTGCGGCTTCCTTTGTTGCTTACAACCTATCCAGCAAAAATCTCTCCCGCACTTCTCAGTCTCGATATACATCCCAATTCAAGCCTATAGAGCTGTAAACAACGGAGGAGGTCATGGCTGATGTGTTTCAGCTTGGGTGAAGATTCAGCTTATCAAAAGCTTAGATTGTATGATTACCAATAAGTTGTTCTTTAAAGGAATTACCTCCCAATTACCTACCTTTGTGCTGAGATATGGCCAGTCAAAGTAGAACGTCGCACCTAAAGAAAAACATACAATAAGAGGTCAACAAAATGCACCAAAATAATTGAAAAGTGGAAACACACACTAGTGTTGGAATAAGGGGTTGCTACTAAGTTGCCAGATATTGCACTCATAACTTAAGACTTGATTGGTCACCGCAGGGACTAGTATGGCTTATGGGAAATCTCTGCATACTTCAAGGTACAATGTATAGGTATTGAAGAGATCTGATAGTCTTCATTGGGCCTCAGATAACTATACCTAAGCAGGATGTAAAGGAACCGACCCAGACTGCGCTTGAGTACTTCCGTTAGAATACCGCTTACCCATCCGAACACCAACAACAGATACCACAGCTGACCATACAAGACTAGACGACACCAGTCTTAAAGAAAACCAGGAGGTAGACTAGTTTATTTGAACACAGATACAAGAGGACCTGAGGGAGCTGAGACGGGTTTCCCCACCTCTCCAAAGTAAGCTGGGTTCCATGGGCTCCCCACCCAAAGTGACTCCCTTCACACAGGATGTAACTAGCGAGGGTGCAGAGGAGACAAATGCATATTGGCTTATGAGGACAGCTGAAACCAAGCAAAAATGCTAAAATCCTTTATTTACCCACTGTGCAGTCACATCCTGTAGAGACTAGAGATGGCCATAGATGGATCAGAAAATTTTGATCCACCTATAGCTGTTCCTACTCGAGAGAACTCGATCTAATGATTGGATTCTCTTGAACGGTAATATTGGAATCCTCTCCGCTGTCAGAATACAATAACACAGCGGGGAGGATTTCTCCATCCACCTTGCTTCTGTGGAAGAGGTAATCTGTTTTTTTTTTCAGCCAGAAGGCTGATCAAAAGAAAACGAGCCATCTATGGCCAGCCTTACCTGGGTTTCCATCTTTTTCTGTCGGTCTCAGTTTCTAATGATAGAAAAGGTGGCCATTTGCACAGTTTTACCAAAACATGGTCCCTTAAATTACCATAATGGAGATTCAAAGGACTTTATTTTATAAGATATGAGGGGAAACTAGCTAAATTAAAATTTCCTTCAGACCCCTATGGTATTTGCAACTCCTCTGTAACAGCGGTCAAATTATCAGAAGCAAAAACTGTCTTTGCTGCTCTTCAGAGCCAATCAGAGCCTATATCAGAAAACAACAAACACATAATAATTCTCTGTCAGCATAAAGGAAAGCCATGAATTAATGTGAGTGTAATTTGATTTAATATAGATTTTAGGACATACAAGGTGTGACAATTTAATTCCCGGTATGTCCACGGTGTAGCACTATGGTGGTAAGTCACACAGCCATTCGCACTTGAGCGTGTTCTGACTTGTTCTAACCTGCATTCACCTGAGTTAGAGACCAGTTGACTCAGTCTTTACGGAGAAGTAGAAGAAATAACATGTGTGTGCGTTGAGCTGTTGGCGGAAAATGAGTGACAAGAATCTGAAAGCAGCGAGTAACATCAAATTTTCCATGAAAATTGGCAATAGTGTGAATGAATCTTCAGCTGTGTTACAACAGGCTTATGATGAGCATTCGCAGTTTAAGGAAGATGTCCACAATGACGTGGCAGTGGGAAGCCAAAAACGCAAAGGAGGGATGCAAATATGGATAGAGAATCTGTCTGAAGGAAAAGACCAGAACTATAGACTGACAAGTGGATTCACCACCCCAACAATTATTATTATTTCAGGTACTTATATAGCGCCGCCAATTTACGTAGCGCTGTACATATATATTGTACATTCACATCAGTCCCTAACCTTCAAGGACCGTACAATCTAAGGTCCCTAACTCACATTCATACATACTGGGACCAATATAGACAGGAGCCAATTCACCTACCAGCATGTCTTTGGAGTGTGGGAGGAAACTGGAGTACCCGGAGGAAACCCACACAAGCACAGGTGGAACATGCAAACATGGTTGGGATTCAAACCAACTATCCTAGTACTGCCAGGCGGAAGTGCTAACAACCAATTCTCTTGCACATGATGCGTTACATGTCTGCGCGTTCCTGGCCCAGAAATCCATTCCAAAAAACTTGAAAAATCACCTTATTCCCCTAACTTAGCACCCTGTGTCTTTTGGCCATTTCCAAAATTAAAAAAATGTCT